GGACTGCTGCTCATGCAGGTCTGGGAACAACTGGGAATAACTGGGAATAACTGGGAATAACTGGGAATGGGGCTGGGAATAACTGGGAATAACTGGGAATGGGGCTGGGAACAACTGGGAATAACTGGGAGCAACTGGGAATAACTGGGAACAACTGGGAATAACTGGGAATAACTGGGAATGGGGCTGGGAACAACTGGGAATGGGGCCCCCAGGGTCAGCAGCCCCGCCCCCAGGAGGAGCAGCCCCGCCCCCAGAGGCAGCAGCCCCGCCCCCAGGAGCAGAAACCCCGCCCCCAGAAGCAGCAGCCCCTCCCCCAGGATCAGCAGCCCCGCCCCCAGGATCAGCAGCCCCGCCCCCAGGATCAGAAGCCCCGCCCCCAGCCTTCCCACCGAGGTTTTTCGGGAATGTTGTCCCCCCAGATGCCGGAGGAGGAGGCGTTCTGCGTCTTCGTGCGCCTGATGCAGGAGTATCGGCTCCGCGAGCTCTTCAAGCCCAGCATGGCCCAGCTGGGGCTCTGCATCTACCAGTTCGAGTTCCTGCTCCAGGTGGGCTCCCAAACCTCGGGAACGGCGGGAATGGGGCAGGGAGAGCGAGGGGAGAGGGCAGGGAGAGGCAGGAGAGAGAGGGGGAACCGCCATGGGACGCTCGGGATCGGGTCTGGGGATTCTCGGAGGTGATCTGAGCAACATCCGAGGGGGACAGAGGGGAGACCCCCAAGGATGGTCAGGAGATGCCTGGGGGTACCATGAGACCCCAAAGGGACCATCCCTGAAACCCCAAAGGGACCATCCCTGAAACCCCAAAGGACCATCCCTGAGATCTCAAAGGGACCATTCCTGAAACCCCAGGGGACCATCCCTGAGACCCCAAAGGGACCATTCCTGAAACCCCAAAGGACCATCCCTGAGACCCCCAAAGGGACCATTCCTGAGACCCCAAAGGGACCATTCCTGAGACCCCAAAGGGACCATCCCTGAAACCCCAAAGGACCATCCCTGAGATCTCAAAGGGACCATTCCTGAAACCCCAGGGGACCATCCCTGAGACCCCAAAGGGACCATTCCTGA